GCCGCCCTGAGTCCTTGGGAGAAGGGCGGCATATAAATCCAATAAACCTATATAAAAACCTATTTAAAACCTTTAACTCTATGTCAACAAAACTAATTCAAAGGTGTTTTCCTTCACCCCATAGCTCAACCAACATTCACAACTTTGTACATAAATATTTTTGAGTCAATTATCGCCCTAATCGCTTTAATCCAGCCACAATTTATTCAAAGATTTTCATAAATGGATAATTTCAAACATTCAGAATATAATTTAACCACACAATATATTTGATCCTAATTTTTTTCAAAGAATCTGGTTCATCATAATAATCACATCCAACCAATAAGGAATTACCAATAAATAGAAGTGATAATTGGCATTGTTTGTGTGTGTGCGTGCACACACACACACACATACTTTCTCTATATATCTTTTTTATATCAATTCTACGCCACATATTTAAAGATATAGTCATAATGTCTCTTTTGATCTGCTTAATACAATTTTCACCAATCCTCTGAAATGACACCATTTTGCCAATATTTATTAAACAATGTTGCTAGTTCTTTCCCCACAACCTGGCCACCATGTTTTAAAATCTTTGAGGTTTTATCTCATCTAAGTCAACTCTCTGGTTGTTTTTAAGGCTTCTAATCACCATTTTTATTTCTTTAATTATAATTTCATAAATATTTACCTGAAGCACTTATAGAGCACACTCTTCATTAAAATTGTATATAGAGAGTGGGTTTGACTGATTAAGAGTTTCCTGCAAATGCCAAACCCATCATCTGCTTTGTATATCTTGGATGACCAGAGGCTGACCAAAGATTGAACAGTAAATAAATTCTAAATCTTCATAGTATCTTCAGAAACATCATTTCCAATAGATGATTTGATATAAGAATGTAATAGAAGCATGGATGGTTTGCTAGTTATAGTTAAAGTTATAGTGAATGTTGATGTAAACTAAACAGATGTTGTTAAAAAAACCCTCTAATACTTGATTTAATTTGTGTGTAACTACTTATTCTTTTTCATGCTTTGCTAATGTTACTTCAAAAAGGAATAGTGCGATGGGTATATCTGTTTCTATGTTAATGACTTAAACTACTTGGAGGATTGTCTTTTCTTAGCTTGTGTATTTGAGTGGTCATCTTAATTGGGATGCCATCCAGACATATATTTCCCAAAATTGCCCTTTGGGTCTGTCTGCTGGATATTCTAGGAGTTCTAGTCACAGCATATGATAGGATGGATAAGGTCATCATTGGAAGCTTTTCATGGATGTCAACGTTTTCCAACCAGATAGGTACCAATGAATGTACCAGATATGTAACAATGAAACAATTTCACAATGTACTTTTGTAAAAAAAAGTTCCTGGGGGGACTTCCTATTATTTTCATTTTAGAATCATATATAGAGATTTTCCTAACTGCCTGCTCTTTAAATATAAAGTATTTTAATCTAGCTTTCTCATATTGTTGCCTGGCATAATACTTCTGCTTTTACCAGTCCTCTTTGGTATTCTTGAGCCTGGTTTTCAACTGGTATTACTAATCCTCTAGAATTACTTTTAGGCCTGGCAAATCATTCAACAAAATTATACCTGGCTGCTATGTGTTTCTAATTTTTTTGTATTGTGTATTTTGTGTTTTTAAAGTTTTTTTTTTTAAAATTTAAGCCATCTAGAATCATTTGAAAGTGAGATGGGCAGCTATATAGAATGAATAAACCTATTAATTGACTGATTGATTGAATGACATCTGCAGCCAGAAGACTTTTAAAGCAGCCACTTGCTTTTTTTTAAATCTTTGACAAACAGATTTAAAGGGCTGCCTTATTGAAAGATCTACAAAGATCTCATAGTAGAAGTGTTTTGTGGATGTATTACAAATTGTACTTTTTTTGTGTAGTTGAATGTTGCTATCGATGGAGCTGATGAAGTTGACTTGGACCTCAGTCTTATCAAAGGAGGAGGGTAAGAATAATTTCTATTTCTGAATTCACTGATAAAAGTACAAGATAGATAAGTAGATATTATCAAACAGATTAAATCGCAGTAGATCTCCATGAGTATATATTGGTTTTGATCTTAAAGATAAAATTTGTAACTTTATAAGTTAAATGTCTCATTATTAAATTGCTGAAGGTAAACCGTAATATTTGCTTGAGGAATATATAGAGTATATAATTAAAATGAACAACTTGGGAAATATTAATGTAAGGGCTGCTGTAAGGGCTGAATATTCTACTGCTGAGCTGTGGCTCTTACTGGATTATTAAAATATGGAGAAAAATCATGCAAGGAAATTGTCTTATCCCAGGGCACACCCTGGTCTATGTGACCAAATATTTTCTGAAATGAGGCAGACATCAAAACCAATAGATTCCAGTCTGTGTTGATATCGTGTGATTAAAACCCTTTCCTGCAGATTTAGAAATAAGACAAATAATTGGAAAATGCAACTTAGTTTTGCGACCACCCAATAAAACTTCGGCAAATATTAGCGTGTTTGTTCTGATGTTTACAAACAAAGTTCTAAAATGACATCTGTAAAATAACAGCAATTTGAAGCACTTCTTTCAGCAGCTATGAGAAGGAAAGTAGCATTAAAGGTTATTTTGCTTTAAAATGAGAAAAGATTTACTGAAATATTTGCAGGAATTTTATTTTATGAAGATAACTATCTCATACAATTTTAAGTGTTCATCTTTAAAAATTAAGAATTAGAGCAGTGATGGTGAAACTTTTGTGGCTTGCATGCCGAAGGCGGGGGGAGGGCAGGGGGGGGTCGTGTACAGGCGTGCCACACCCATAATGCTATGTGCACAACCCCAGCGTGCATGCACACACGACCAGCGCGTCCCCTATTTTTGGTGTGCTTTTTTCACCCTCCCCAGGCTCCAGAAGCTTTATAGGAGCCTGGGGAGGGTGAAAAA